TTCCATTGAAGATATGCTCCCAATACAAAGAAATGTAATTACCAGTGTTGTACATTTTGTAGGAATTATGGAGGAATTGGCAAGATTCTCTATTATTACAGTGTTATGCCTCGTGCATAAGGTTATGCAAACAGAGCAGGTGACAAATTACAGAGGCTACTTCTTTTGCATTCAAATCTGTTAATCTATTCTGAGTACCCAACGTGCCACAGAATCCTTCTGTTCTTCAGTTCTGCTTTGTATTCTTCTTTTGTTCCAGCTATTTCAAATTGTTACTTGGGCTTCTTGAATTTTCCGGGATGTAGTGGACTATACAGTATCCCCAGCAGAGTAATAGTCAGCCTGGGGAATAGTGCAAGGCAGATGTTCTTCAACAGTCAGTTGGTGTTCTTTTTGGTTTACAACTTAATGTTCCTGTTTTATATTCCATAGGAGTAGTTTTACTCAAAGTTAAAGAACAGTTAGTTGTTTTTCTTCAAAGAAGTAAAAATACGATTCTCTGGTGTGAGCAGTGATGGTCCAATCGTCTCTGAAGCACTGCATTGGTATTAGTGAGGCAAGAGAGCTGTGTTAGCTTCTTGGCCACTTTGGACTTCAGAAAAGAAATACAAGGGAAAACCAACAAGTGCTGGTTGAGCAACTAGGAAATTTAATGTCTGGTTTGAAATACTTCAGTTCATTAAACTTCTCAGAGTCTAATGGTGTGAGATGGTAAATGGTATACTCTCTCATTTTTTTTCCCCCAGAAATTGAAAGTTCTATCACATACATTATAACAAGAAAGAATAGGAGTCATTAATAAGTAACCACTAACTACAAATGGGGAAAAAGGAGTCACAAATATAACATAATATTAAAAATAAAAGTCACAAAATAAATGCAGAATTTTTGTCCCTTCATTAGCCACTGAAGTTGCTTACTTATGTGATCCCAAGAATAGCTGATTGTTGTTGTGGAGTATGAGAACTCCTAAACGTTGTCTTGCTTGAGAGATAAAGCACACTGATTATATGAACAAAAGCTAAGGTCAAACATTCTGAATTGAATCTTTTATCTACTGTAAATCTAGTTCCTCTGGTTAGTAGAAAATGTGGAAACAATGGGAAACTATGTAAGTTGTTGACACTGTAGGATGCCCCAGATGTGACAGTGTTACCCCAGGAAGAGGCAGATTCACTGACCTGACACTGTGTCTCTTACAGCTGAGTTATGTGCTTCTGTCTTTTTGTATGTTGAGAGATAGATGAAAAGTGGAATGGTTTCTCTGCCATCTCATCTTTGTTCAGTTACACAAAAGTAAGCAGGTCCAAAGCGTTTTCTCCTGATATTATTATTCAATATTTTAAGGCATCCCACTGTAAGCAGCCCTGGATGTAGCAGTGACTCTTTTATTGCTTTCAAAATGAAACATCTCTCAAGCTGAAGGGTTTTTTTTTGAAAGAAATACAGAGCTGAAATGAATTTCCCTAAACGCAGGCAGAGTCTCCTGTGTTCCATTGCGCTCTTTTCCATTTTAGGCACAAAATAAAAAGTATATCTTAGTTGTGTATAATTAATGTCATGGAACTGTGATCCTGGCATGACACAAGCTGTATCACTGAGAGCAGAAGGTAAGAAGAAATCGTGATTGCTCAGCAATTTGCACGGGAGGATGAAGGGGAAAGGCATTTTAAATTAATGGTTCTAAGGCCTTGATGTTGCCCTGCCACATTTCATAAATCTCTTCTGAGCAGTATCTCCTGTGAAAGGGTACTTTGCTGTTGCCTAGGGAATACCAAGCAGGTACCTTTTCTCAGGAGGAAACTGTTTTTACATTTTGCTTCAGAGTGCTCCCCATGGAAGGAAGTAGCCTTTCAGTTTATAGGGCAGCACTTAATGTCTACTGACTGCAACGAAGAGACCTTCTTCTCAAAGCCATTTATCTTCAGAAAACACCTGTCCCCTTTGATCAAAAGGCTGAGCTCTCCTCACCCACCTCAGTGCTGCAGTGCAGGGCTGCCTGCGGGCAGTCAGCGAGGTAGAGATGTTCCACACCACCATCATGCAGCCATAGGGTAGCCTCTGCTCCCCATGGCCATCAGCTCAGAGGTGAGCTTGATCTGCAAAGAGCTCCGCAGCCCAGTGTGGCCTGTGAAAGCAAGCTGTGCTTTAAAGCAGCTGAGGAGTGGGCCTAGGCACCTCTAAAGCTTTGGGAATATAGCAGAGGTGGGATGGGAAAGCTCAGTGCATATGGTATTTGCAGCACCTAGCTTGATTTAGAGTGTTTCAGCAAAATGGCTGTAAATTTGTAAATTTCTGCAGCATTGCCCCCTCAGAAAGCCCTCTGCACATTTTGGCAGAGCTGACAGCACCTCCAACACCTGCTGCAGGCAGTGGTAACCTTGCATGTGGTGTGTGTGCCTCACACACTGGGGGAGCAGTTCAGTCTTCATGTGAGCTGATTGCATTGATTGACATTTATAACGGAATTTTTAGTATATAATGAGAAAAGAACAAATGACCTGCCTTAATATATTCAGTAGCAGTTTATGTTCCTCATAGTGCCACTTCCAAAACACAAAAAGCTTTTACCTTACATTGCCTGCTCCTAGGTACTAAAAACACTTGAGTAATAGTGCAGGTGACTCCCTTACGACAGTTATTTCCCAAAAATAATTCCTTATGCCTCCCTCATGACTCACATTTGCTACAAAATCATTTCTGCAGAACCATTAATGCATTTTGTGACTAGAAGCAACCATTGCTTAGCACTGGAATCCTAAACAGATTGCAGTGGAAAAACAAACAGGGAAATACTGTACCTTATGTCTGCAGGAAAAGAGATAGGGAAGGGATTGGTGGTGATGAGTTTTGCCTTGAACTAGCAGGAATCAGAGGACCATGGTGCAAGGACCAGGCATCTCTGTGCTCTTTAGTGGCACTCAGGGGCACAGTATAGTGATGGGACTTGGTAGGTCAGGTTAACAGTTGGACGTGATGAACCTGAAGATCATTTCCAACCTAATTCTCTGAGTTGATGGAGAAATGATTCTATGAGTCTATGATGGCCACACCCAGACACAGTGGCTGCAGCTCATCAAGGTCACATGCACGAGGAACAAGAGGGTGCCCAAGGAGGAAAGGGAGGGGGATGCTGAGAGATCTGATTCATGTTGTCCAGTTAAGTTATGCAGCCAGATATTCCATTTTGTGGAAGCATTGTTTTTCTGAGTTTGACTGATTGGCTTGATTGAGCTTGATTGATTGGCTTTATTTTTTAATGAATAGACAAAATTTTCTAGAGCACACCAAGAAGCTCCCAAATTCAAACATTTACATGGGCACAGACACAACGATCACTTGGGAAATTGCCAATTAAGCCAAATACTGAAAAAAAAACAAAAAACAAAAACAAACAAAAAAAAAACCACTTGCTGCTTGCTCAACACAATCCTAGAGTCTGTCACATTATAGGAAATTATCATGTCAGTACAGACAGAAATGTAGTCTGCTGTACATATGACAGACTCTTTCTATCCTTGAGAACTTAACAGTGTGACTTGGGAAGAAAGAAAAAAAAATGGATTTTAGCCTAAAAAAGAGAAGAGACACAAAACCTCTCAAAAATAGTTACAGAAAAAGCCCTAAAATTGCACTGTGACTAGAAAAATGGTAAATATACAGTGAAGATTGAAAATCTTCGTCTCTGTCACTGACAAACTGTCTTTAGTAACATTTTATGAGGATGCAGTGGACCGATGTAAGTGGGATTGATCCTGCCCGGAGACAGATGATAGATCATACAGAATCTCTGTCTCTTCCATCTATAGGACTCTAAAGGTAATTGCAGATACAGTAGATTGTGATTAATTCTCACTTTATTTAATTGTGGATAAATAAAGCATTTTTGAATTGTAGTCAATTTGCTCAGTGAATGTTCAGTGTTTTATATTTGATTGAGTCTACTTAGTATTTAATACCCCCCTATTTCTGTTCTTGCCAGATAGCTTTCAGCAATGGTTAGCAATCTTTCTGCATTTCAGCAGACCTCATAATAACAGTTTTATGTAGAGTGATTCGTTACTTAATAATGTACTCATTATGGGTGGAAAATAGGAAGCTTTTTTGAGAAATTTGAATTACATTAAAATAGAATTAATTCTAAATGAGATTTGATCTAAATGTTAAGAAAATATTTTCATTAAAAAGTCAGAATTTAAAACAACGTAGAGATGGTAAAAGTTTGGAATGGGAAGTATGACTTTTACAAATATAAGACAACAAACAGTATTGCTAATTTGAGTTGACTGTCTGGGAAGGCACTTATATCTGGAGAAAAATAATGCAAAAAAAAAAAACAAAAACCACCCACAAAAAAAAACATAAATGCAGGGAATCCCAGGAAACCTTTTATTATTTTGCTTAAGTGCAAGGGACATTTGAGCTTATACTGTCTCTAGCAATAATTTCAATGACAGCAGCTAAATATAAGCATGATGCACACACAATGGAATTCACTGGTGTGAGAAGGCATTTGACTACAGCATGGTCTTTGTAAATTGAGATTCTGATCTGCTACCAAAATAATCCTGCTCTGCTTTTAAAAGTGCTGTCCCATGATGTAAAATTCAAATAGTACCAGGGGGCCAGTCACTGCCTCTTCCTGAGCCTTAATAAAAATGGCCTTAACAATAAAAGGTGTACAAGGCTGTATCATAAAATTGTAAGACCTTGCTCTGAATACAGGAGACACTTCCATCAGTGCAGAGTTAAAACTTTAAAATAACCATTTTTTAAAGGAGTTGAAATTGAACATGATTTGGGGATAGTACAAATGTGGAACAAGAAACATCTTATGGGAAATACTGTCCAAAATCATAAGCATCTAGCTGAGAAAAGGTGAATGTGCTAAGACTATCAAGTGATGTTGTTTTTTTCTATTGTAACGGAATTTTTGCAAAGGGAAATCTCTTACAGAAACAGTGGATCTGCTGAAGAGCCAATATGGATGTTACTGCAGAAGTTATTTGTGGGGACTAAATCCACATGAGAGAATAGACTTGGCTTCACACATAGATGGCTTTAGAGCCACTCACATTCCACCATCTAGTTTTGGTATTCTGTATCACTCTTCTGACACCTCTTTGTGTTAGTTTGGGCTTCTCATGAAGCAGGATGTTTCAGGTGTGTCTGCTTTATCTGGATACAGGAGTGTTTCCGGCTGCAAGTCTAACCAGCAGGGCTTGCAAAGCCATGCAGCCACAGCCCCAAAAGATGCCTGCCTCTGCATGTAGATCACTGGTAACCAGCTCTGAAACCCCAGCTGGGTGTACAGGGTCTGGATGGGTGCTGAGAGCAAATACTCCTCATAGGTACTGAAATGGAATGAAGGGGTTGTTCTACAAAGCATGACCTCCAGAGGACACAGAAGCATTTTGAGGACTTTTTTTTTCCTATATTTTGAGTTCAAGAAGGCATTTTATTTGTTGGTAACTTCAGCTTCTGTGGAAAAAGATAAAAAGGATCTTAGAAAATTGTTACAAAACATGAATATGGCGAAATGGAAAATATAAAGTCTGACAAAGGCACTTTGTTAACAATTAGTGGAGTTAGCTTGAGTCTTTAGATCTACAATCATGTTACATAAGAAGCTGAAAATGGTCAATATTTAAAAGTTTTTCTTTGGTCTTCAGTTTACTCTCAGAAAAATGGAGACAATAATGGGTCTGCCCACTAATTCTTAGCTGGCTTTATTACCTCTGTAGAGAAACTATGCTTCTTAACTATTTCCTAGTAAAAAAAGAACAGAGGCTCTTAGTACACTGATAAAATCATTTATAATAATTATATGTTAGCTGCTTAGTAGCTTGAATAAATTTAGTATATTGTGAAATGAAAATAATGCTGAAAGCAAGTCTGCCAAAAGAGCAGGATGAATAATTCATACCTAAATTGAACATGATAAATCTTACTCCTTTTCTCCATTGACAGAAAGCCTATATACAGATGACTGTTTCTGCAGATTTGTGCTGTTATTCTATGATTTATACACTCTACAGATCTCTTCTAGAGTATTGTCTGTATTGCTTAACAGTGATGGGTTGCACGAGGCATGCAGTGTTGTTTCTGCTTCCTGATGGCATAGTGCTAATGCTACAACCAGGCATCTGATACTGATGTTTATGGAAAACAAATATCAAATTCACTTTCTATAAATTTTTGAGTATAAAAACTTAGCCCTTGCTCTACATAAATATTGATAATCATAGAACATGGTGCTAGGAATTTTCCAAATGTTCATGGAAAGTTAAACAAGGTTAAAGTCAGACAGCTTGAAAATACAGCTGAATACTCATGCTGCTTTTTCCTGGTTTCAGAACTCTGGCACAATTCTAAACTGTACACTTGCCAAAAACAACCTTCTCTTCCTATCCTGGCATTATTATTCACGTTTCTTGTGTGAGAATCCTGTCATGGGTTTACAGAAGGGTAGCTCCACCTGATAGCACTATCAGAGGTACGTTCTCTGCTGCCATACAGTATAGATGTGAAGGCAATACCTGTAATTTGACATCATCACTGTGGGTGCATTTGTCACTATGTCCTGTGATCCCTATCACTCAACTGTTCTGAATTTCATATATCATTGTTGTATTAGATTCTATCTAAAGAGCTCAAATCAGAGTTTAGTTTAAGGAGATGTGTGGAGTCCCTGATAGCAAGCATGCATGATCTCAACATGGAGGTCCGCCTGGTGCTGGGTCAGCTGCAAGGATACAGCCCCATGACCTTATTTGTTTCATAGGCCAACAAACGGAATACCTGCAGTGAGTCACTAGAAAGCAAGCAAATATGTGTCTGAGTTCACTCTGTCTGTCACAGTGCCAGGAAGCCCAGATAAGTTGTTTTTAAAACGCCACCATAGAACCAGATTTTTCTAAGTCCCCAAGAAGCAAAGCAATTTCAAGAATACAGCAAGATAAACAAGGAGAAAAAATATGAAAGCAAAGCAGTAACTGCAGGCTGAGTATTCTCTTGAAATATCAAGTGTTAATCACAGACTGCAGCAAGGAAAGGGGAACATGGGAAAAATATTGACTAGTGACATTTTGTAGTCACAAATGGTGCAGTGAGTGCTAATAACCTCCATCATATTCAGAAATCTTAGAAACAGTGTGAGTGATGCTTGAGAAAAAGGAAGCATAGCTTTTCCTTGTCAAAGACTGTTCATTTTCCTCTTGGAACACAGCTTCTGCGTGAAGAGGTTGATGGAAGAGCAGGCAACACCACTCGTGATTGTGTTTTAGCTCCTGTATTGCCAATATCATGGAACAGCACAGTCCAGCCTTACCTTATAAAACATATTTTATATTTATTTTTAACATGTTTATGTATCAAGTTGCCTTTACTTTGCTATACATGAGAAACTACTGAATATGCAGGAGAAGGGTAATGCAACGGGCAAAATAAATCAATTTCAAATTTCAACTAAGAGCTTTAATAGTTGGGCAAATCTCAAAGTTTTCTGTTTGAGACTAATTTGATAGAAAGCCTAACATTAAGAAACAATTACTTAAAGTGGCACTTGTCTTTATCTCCCATGTTAAGACATACCAAATGAAAATTAGAAGAAGCAAGATGAAATGTTATAGTTAACATTAAATTCCTGAGTATGTGAGTTAAGTCCATTTTATTCACATAGCTTGAGAGGCCAATGAAATGCAAGGGCAAGAACTTGACTTCTTTGCATTGTAATTTTGTGATTACAGTTTATGGGAACTAATGTGATTGTTTAGAGCAAGGATGCTGCTTTTGGATGCCTGTGAGGTGGTTTTTTTGTTTGTTTGTTTTTTTTAACATTTGTTCTAATGTTTTTCACTAAAGCCTACCTGGGGACTCAAGATGAGCTTATTGTCTACAGCAAGACAATTAAGTCACAGTTCTGGCTCCATCAAGCAGCTTGCAAGTCATTGGTGCTCCCTCCTGATGAGCATGGTCACCTGTCAGACCACTGTCTGTGGATGCAGAGAAAATGAATTAATCCAGAAACGAAAATGGCAAAGGTGCAGGAGGTATTGATTTTATCCTGAGACCTGTCCTTTTACACACCAAGGCAAGTGAAGGTCTCTGGCCGAAGTATTAAGTGTCCTCTCTTTAATGGCTGTGACTTAGTCTTAATTTTCCTACCAAACAGCTTTTGAAAGCTGAATAATGCATGAACAGAAACATACACAGAGCTATTTCAGGATCCCCAAGCTGGCATGCCTTCACTCAGATGATAAGCATCTAGCTGTGTCTATGAAGCTAGGCACGTCAAAGTGTCCTTGTGCTGTTGTAAATTCTTAACTTCAGACTAAGAGAATTCAAACATTTTATTCCAGAATTCAAAAGCCTGGCCTTAGTTTATTGACTACTTGTGTGCCGTATCATATCATTTTCCATACTTTGCATAGGCAGCAAATTTGTTGCAGATATACAAAATAATTTATGTCTACAGGCTAGAACTTTCCTTTAATCTTGATATTTGGATGAATAACCTATACAGAACTGCTCTTAGCACATATGTATTTCCTGGCATCAATGAAGGACTTAAATTTCTTACAAGAAATTTAATTTGATATGTACCAAGTGTTGAAACTTATTACTTCTGGACAAAGTCATGGTATTTTTTTTTTTGACTTGAAGTGTTCCATAATTGAGATGATGACCAATGACATTCTTTGGGAGATTTTACAAAGCATTTTATTCTTACTATCATAACCTAGTTTTCCATCAGAATATCGTTATAGTCTGAAGCCAAACTGGAGAGCTACTAATTTAGACCCTAGAAGAAGCTGGAGGGATATAAACAAACAACAATAAAGGAGTATAACTACTGATCTTGAAAACACAGAAGAATAGCATTCCAAGTAGAAGCATCAAAATAAAAATAAGATTAATACAAGGCATAGATCAAAGTTGGCCCAGAATTGACAATGTCCTGGTGAAATGCATATCTCTGCTGCCATCGACATTTTTCCCACAGTAGGAAAATATTATTTACAGTTCTGATAGGAAAAGGATAGAATGAGGAACTACTTTAAGAAATTTGCACACTATCTTAAACAATGAAGTGGTAAATATTAAGGAATTCATAATCTATATATTTAGTATCTGCACAACCTCAGTAAGATACTGCCATTTTAAGCATCTTGGCCTGTGTGGACTGAAGAAATATTAGGAAAAAATAGTATAATTTATGGGTTAAAGTAGCATTTTAATAAGGTAAAAATAGCTGACTTTCATCATTGATGGATAGAGCATGGTATTTGAACTCGATCAGAGGAAAACTGCATTTTTATAAAATTGCTCATGTAAGATAATTAATAACTTGTCAGAACCACCCAACAAATTAGGCTGTTTTATTATTCCCACTCTTTTTTTTTTTTTTTGCTAAAGTACTAGTCACCCTAGTTCCAAACGGCTCTCACACATGCAGCATTATCATCTCTCAGACTGGCCTTTCAGATTTTACAGTTAAACAAACCAAAGCTCTTTTATTAATCATGAACCATCCTGGCTACAGAACGTAAAGATGATGGAACTCTCAAGAAACGGAAACTTCAATTTTCTGGTGCTGCCTGCTTACCACCGTGATGTCCCAGCTCTTGCCCTCTCCCTACACTCCTTCCTTGACACATATAGTCATTGGGAGTTTCAGGATCAGGTATGATGGAGGCTGAGGGATCAGGATTCCACTTTGTTTGAAATTACAGTAGAGAAGAAAGTTCCTATGGCTTCATGTCAGAAGCAGAAGTTCTTAAGACAGATGTGTTGCAAAATTGAACTGATTTCTGGTCCTTTCCCTGGTTTCATTAATGCTTAAAGCTGATACAGAAGATGAATAGTTGTAATGCAATGCTTGTCTTTGGTGAGATTATTGGAATAAAGCATTATGGTTTGATGTCTATGCTTCATGGAAAATGTTAAAGCTTCTGGAAAAAAAAAAATCAGAGATAAGTTGCAAGATTTATCTGAAATCCAGAAACTACTACTGAGTGGGAGAAAATTAAAGAACTGCATCAGCATTATCACAGCCATAGTCCTTTCTCATGCCACTGCAAGCAACAGAAACCGAGACTTTGCTCAGACCACAAGTATAAATTTAAAGTGTTTTGGTCTCTTGCTGGTTCCTTTGTCCTGTCGGGTAGATGTGTTAAGAGCTCCTCCTTCTCAGAGGTTTCCAGAGCTCCTTCCTCTCCTCAGTCAGCTGCCCCCAGTGGCCACAGGCAAGCTCTCACTCTTGTTGTTTTTATGCTCAAAATCTTGTTTGTAAGCAAAAAAACCCCAAACATATCATTTTATATAGCCAATAATTTAATGTTATTACCACTGAAATCTGAAGGGTCTAATCATTATAAGTTGAGATCCAATTCTTACAAAGAATAATTAGCTAGAATGCTTCCATACAGAAAAAAAGCCTCAATAGTAACAGCACTTCAGTTAAAATGCTTTACACACCTTTCTTATTTCCTACCCTTTTCCCTGGAGCTACACTCACCCCTGTGCTCCTCTGTGTCCTGGAGTTGCTAGTTGCATTCTGGTAGTGTTGAGCAGCTGCTGTGAGTCATCAGAATCTGGAGTCCTTAATCAGGATGAGTATTAGGTTCATGTTCATGGGTTTTTCTTCCTGTCTATAGCCTGGATACATTTGTGTGTCTTTATGGCCTGTTGCTATCTATGGCAATAACGTACCATAGGACCACAGAGGATATGCAGCCACAGCTTGAGTCCATACACAGAAGGTATTTGGCAGCCCTGGCAGCAATTACTTTGACACAGACAAATTATTGTGTCCAGCATTATGCAGCACTGAAGAGAGCCAAAAATGCAATCCAAAGGTCTGAAAGTGCCTTATAAAATAAGCCATGGTGATGCAGGGCAGTATTTGTAATCCAGTAAACAAAATCATAAAGTGCTCCAAAGGTGTGAGAGTAGTGCGAGATATTTCATTACAGTGCATTTTTAAAAGCAAAGTTATTTAACTGTGGAGAATGGTTGCCAAGAAGGGATTCGCACTGTTCCTCATCAGCTCTCTACCTATAACACTCTACTTCATGGCAAGAGTGTACCCTACACTCTAATTCATGGCAACAGAACTTAAGTAGGAGTTACTGACTGGGCTTCTGTGGCACAGGCTAAGCAGCAGAACATGTTAGGTGATGATCATATCGCTTTTCTGACCTTAAAATCGTAAAAAGATCAAGAAAATGTAGTTAAAAAATACATTGAAGTAGTATGTCTGGAATGGTACTAATATGTAGCTTTAATGATTGCAATTTCGTTCCACATGCATTTCTTCCATTTAATTTTGAATAGGCTCTACCACAGCTACATAACTACACTTCTAGGAGTATAAGTCCAATATTTAGATCATTAAAATTCTTACCACCTAACCTCACAATTGGCTAAAATGGGTAGCGTTCTATAAGTCTTCACACGAACATGACACAGTAAAGCACTGCATTGAAGGCAATTGCATCCATATGAAGGTTGCAGTGCACTTGAACTAAATGCACTGCAGGAGTTTAAGAGCTGACTTTGTCAGAGTCTTACCTCAAGGATTTGTGGATTGTTTCTGCCACAGATACTCATTAAATAAGATTTACCTGTCACTGATTTGACCCTGCAGATATGTCTGACTAAAACTGAAAAAGTTTAGAAGTGACTTAGAGTATTGGTTGTTTCTACTGTTATCTTTCAGTTACTGCTATTTCTGTTTTTAATGTCAGCATTTGTGATAAACATCATCCAGACCCATTTGTAAACTCTCAGCTTTACTTTATGTTGGGTTTTCAAAAGAAAGGTTTGAGCAATACATGAAAAAATGTAATGACAACGGAAAGTACTTTTTCCATTTAGCCCAAGTGAAAAGCTGAGAACTATTTAAAATATGGTTACATATTCACAGATATTCTGGCTTTGGGTAAACAGAAATGCGGTGCCTGTAAGTTTGGAAGTTCAGTAATTATCGCTAGAAGCCACCATTAAACCTCCAGACAAACAATGGAAAGTTACTTAGTTTGACAAGGCTGTAAGATTAATTTCTACTAATTATTCCTGTGATTAATTTGGCTCATTAACTTTCACTGGAGGAAAAGGAAACTGAAAAAAAAAAAAATCAATATTTCAGTTCTCTCTTTTTTTTTTTTGAATCATCTGGGAATGTCATATAGAATCTATTCTATATATTTTGCATAGTGATCAAGGGAACCAAAAGGAGCCCAAGGATTATTAAACTAAGAAATAGTGATTAACACTAAACACAGCTATTGTCAGAAGTCAAGGGACTACTGATTTACAGGAAACTTCTGTATTTAATAGTTTTTCTTTAGATAGTTGATGTTTTCCTTTTTTTCCTCAAAAGGATCATACTAATGGCTCATTTGAATAAGTTACCTAGATTGATTTCTGGGCTGATTCTGTATCATTGCTGTATTCTTTACATTGATTGAAAGGGATCCACCTTTGGGAATATTTGCTTCCTTCCATTATTCAGAGTGTCTAGATTGGATTTCTATGTAAGATTTTTTAGACAGAAAATCTGAAACACAAGAATACTTTCTAGAAGAGCATAAACATATATATGTTCATAGTTATACGTTGCAGTTACATGTACCCACACAATCAACAGATATACAATTAGCAGAGTAATGTAGTTAGGCTGACAATTTACAGGTCACATAACTAGAAGGATTATCATGGCAGAAACGGAAAATGTGAAATAAAAGAAAATACTCACCTGTGTCCTAGGCTCACAGTAGAAAACTCCAAAAGGAAGGACCTCCAGAAAGAAAACCTTCCCCCATGGCATTCAGCCCTTAAATGGGGTCTAGGAGAGCTGCAGCCAGGCTCCACCCCTTCTGGTCACACAGCTGAATTGCCTTCACCTGTGCTCCCATGGCTGACTCACTGCTTGTGTCAGGTGGTCAATCAGTGGGTCAGGCTGTGACTCAGCAGTTCCCATACAGTATGTGCTTGCAGATGTGTGTGTATATATAAGTACATATATATATACATATACGTTCCTTCAAAAATTGTGAATTTTACTTATTGATTTTGTATTCTTTTTATTTGCTTGTTTTTGGAAGGATTTAGTTTCGAAATCTGGGAATTTTTTGAGAATAGCAGTTCTAATATTCCACTTTTCATAGAATTCTGCATATATCTTGCTTTGGCTTTTCTGTAGATGATGAAACCTGAAGTCTGCTAACCACAGATGTGAATGATGTAACATTCTAATAGAGTTTCAAGAAAATAGAGCATGAAAATCAGTTTTCTAGCTGTTCCAATAGGAAAACAAAAACATATTTTTCCAGTGCAAAACTTTTATATTTTTAGTGGCCAGACACAAATGGGTACACTCAGACTTTTTTTTATTAGAAGAGTGAATACACAGTATAAAATTATCAGAGTGCAAGACACATTTTTCAATCTCTTCATACAGCTGTTGTATCATGGAAGGAGAAATATTCTGATTTACCATTGCTGGCTGAACTGTTTCAGTGTGTCAGTGAGTAATGTTTCTAGAGCAGATATAAAGTGGCAGAGCAAAGTTTCTGATTTCTAAGTTTACTTTCTTAGTTCCCAGGATAAAGGGTTTGGGGCTGTGTAATCCAATGTAACTAAATGCACCCTCAGCAAGTTTGCAGGTGAGACCAAGCTGTGTGCTGTGGTCAGCATGCCTGAGGGACAGGATGCCATTCAGAGAGATCCAGAAAGACTGAAGCAGTGGTCCCAGTTGAACCTCATTAGGTTCAACAATCCCAAGTGCAAGGTCTTGCATCTGGGTTGTAACAGCCCCCACTATCAGTACAAGCTGGGGGATGTAATGATGGAATACAGTGCTGCCAAAAATGGCTTGGGGCACTGGTGGATGGCAGCTAGACGTGAGCCAGCAGTGCACCCTCACAGCCCAGAAAGCCAACCATAACTTGGGCTGCATCGGCCAGCAGGTCAAGAGGTGATCCTGCCCCTCTGCTCTGTGCTGTGAGACCTCACCAGGAGTACTCCATGCACTTATGGAGTGCTCAGTATAGGACTGTTGGTGCATGTCCAGAAGAGGGCCACAAAAATAATGGAAGGATGGAACACCTCTCATGAGGACAAGCTGAGAGAGCTGGAGCTGTGCAGCCTGGAGAAGACCCCAGGGAGACTCAAGAGTGGCCTTTCAGTACCTAAAGGGGGGCTGTAAGAAAGAAGGGGACAGATTCTTTAGCAGAGTCTGCTGTGACAGGGCAACGGGAGATGGTTTCAAAGTAAAAGAGGGGAAATTTAGATTGGATATAAGGGAGAAGATTTTTACAATAAGGGTTATGAGGCACTGGCACAGGTTGCCCAGAGAGGTGGTAGATGCCCCATCCCTGGAGACAATCAAGGTCAGGCTGGATGGGGTTCTGAGCACCTGATCTTGCTATAGATGTCCCTGCTCATTGCAGAGGAGTTTGACCAGATGACCTTTGAAAGACCCTTCCAACTCAAACTATTTTATGATTCTATGATATAGAAATTAAACTATGATGTTTAGATGTCACTTTTACTGTACCGTTTTAGTGTCTCAGAAATTTTACAGTAGCTTCACTTATATGTAAGAAATTGAGAACCCCTTAAATGACTTGTCCAAACTCATGAGTGACTTATCATCTGTGACAAAGTAGTGCTGGACAATCAGGACTCCCACTTTTGTGTTAATTGTCTAACTAAAATCTCCTATGTCTTTTCTTCCAGTGGAAAAGATTACAGCTGCATGCAACCTAAAATTGTAAAGTAACTTGACAGAGAATACTGTAGTGGAGAGAAAAGAATCAGTAAATTCAAAAATCAAGGTTGTATCTGAGCTGAAAATCTTTATGACAGAAGAGAAAATAACTAGTTGCAAGAGGTTAAAGGACATTCTGCAGTTTCAAGTACATGTACTGCTCCCATCCCTATTTCTAAGATTGTTTACTCTTATGACACCATGGTTTGTGATATCAAGTCATCTCATATAATGTTACTGACATTTCAGTGCATGTCAGATATGTTTTAGTGTTGCATGAAAACATGAGATTTTTAAAGAATGTGTGCCTCAGTATATTCTACTGCATTTCAAACATCCAGCAAGAGCAGCACTGCAAATATGTCTTTGATGGCTTTTCAGAAACAGAAGGCTGAATTCCATCGTTACATCTCAGCATCTGCAGAATTTTCTCTGTGACTGAGCAAAACTGGGAACAAAGCATTTTAAAGCATTTCTTCATAATTGGAATATCGTAAGAGTTTGGTCTTATTACAGGAGTGTATAGAATCTTGAATGTCCATAACTGACTTTGAATTCAGCCTCTATCTATTTCTCTGAAAGGAAAAAAATATGCCTGGATAGCAAAAAAGTATATATGTAGCTAGTATTATTAGTTTTTTACTTTTCTTGAGTGTTCATTTACCTGGTTACAATTTGTGTAATACATAACAATAGAGCATGTACAAATGGCCCATAGTCCATCTAACTTTAGATTTTGATAATCAGGTAAAATTAATTGTATTTTCAAATATTCTCCTAGAATCTTTGAAATAAAAACCTGGGTAAGGAGGATGATCTTTCCTTATTTTAAAACTGATATCTTAAATAATAATTTTAGACAAAAATGTCATCTATTGTTGTAATAGTTCTGGAAAACCTTTTGTTTTCAAGTGTCTAAATCATTCCCAATAGCAGCATTCAGGAAAATATGCAGAATGCAAAATAACATTAAGTCCCAAAGTACATGTAGTACATACTTTATTTCAGAACATCAACTATGCTTCTGAAGTAGGATACTGAAATTGCCAGCTTATCAGACAATTATGCATAATTCAGAATTTCTGGTGAATTTAGGAGTCTCAGGCTCTCTAGTTCGTTGTTTGACGACCACATTTTTAGATCACTGCCCTAACTTTGATTCCTGGTTTTGTTATAAGGTCTCAAGAGGCATAAATGTTTACTAAAGATTTGCAAAATGTGCTGAGCTGCTCAAATTAGCCGCTATGAGCTGTTACAGGCAAAGGTAGTCTGAAGCTGTCCTTCAGTACTTACAACTTTAGTCCCAGTGGGACTCATTGCACCGAGGCTCTGCTCTAAGAGGTGCTATTATTCATTTCTCACAAAATGCATCTGGAGAAGACAATGATGATCCTTCCATAACCTTTTATCCAATAACTCATGATTAAAGTACTCACCCAGGCTGCAGGAGAGGCAGATTCAATTGTCTCCTCTATGTAATGGGATTCAAACCCCCTACATGTCCCAGAAGAGCATCATAATGACCAGACTATAGGCTATTCTGAGTAAAGGCTTTCTTGGTCCCATGAAAGCTGTTTCATGCTGTCTGAAATAATTGAAACTAGTGGTAGTGCTCTTGTAGCTGTGATGGTCTAAGAATAATAAGAGAAGAAAAACTTGGTGGGAAAAAGTAGTGTCTTCTATAAGAACATCTGATGTAGCTGAAAGAAAAGGACAAGCTCAGGGTCATCTAAGACATTCTCCAGATCTACAGTGGAAATTTAATTCGGCAATAATACATTTAATGTAAAAGATGTAGGGCCAAAGAGAGAACGATGATGGCACTTGGGAATGCAGACTTCATCCCTACTCGGATGAGTACTTAATATATATTACTTATTCATAAGATGAGGAAATGGCATTTAAGTAACTAAGTTAGATAGCTCTCGCTCTCTTGTTGTTTCAACCATGTACCATGTAAGAATACAGGATATGCAACTGGAAGTTGTAAACCACTGTATTTTTAATAGAACAGTTTTTAAATGCTATTCGTCCTTGTCAGTGCACATCACTTAATGGGCTGCTACCTTAGGAAATATGTCCTTGTCAAAGGCAATATCTAATGTTTTGCACATATGTATAATGAATTACAAGATCATTCCACCTCATTTTTATGTGAAACTGATTCTTTCATGAAATTTCTCACATCAAGTGCCCACTTCCCACAGAAAGACGATTTTTTTTCATCACAGCTGCAAGAAAATTTTCTTCTTCTCTGGCAAGTGTCTATAAATCCTCCTCCCTTCTGCATTGGGTGTCCACAGGGCTCTGCACAGGGATGCACACAGGCTGGGAACGTGCAGGGTCTGCCAACACACCACAGGTGGTGCTCACAGCCCCATCCAACAGTTTGGCTCTGACCTCAAAGTGGCAGCTCTTACCTTGCCTCATCTTACCCTTTTTGTCCATTATTTGTTTTCACATGAATATTAATAACCTTTCCTTTAAAGTCAGGTACCTTATACAGTTTTCAAGAAAGAAAAAGCCAGGAGATATTCAATGCAGTTTGGAAAATGAATTTTTGTTGTTTTCCATAGTTACATACAGAATGCCTGTTGGAAGTTGTCCACCAGCCAGGATAGTGTCCCAGTGGTCTAAGAATACAGCTGTACTATTTTCCAGACTACCAATCCCTCAGTTACTGTTAACAGTATTGTCAACCTTTGTTTTAAAAGTATGCACATTTTCTTTTTATTTATCTTTCAGAACTGAGTACTGGCAGCTGTACTTAAATGATAGGGTAAAACATAAAACCAGAGAGATAATTCAGTTCTTATTTATTTTTTCTAGGATTCTTTTTCATTTCAACCCTCAGTTTTAATTTGATAATTTGAGTTACAGTTGAATAATAATTTTCCTTCCATTTCTGACCTTTTTTCCTGGCTAGAACAGCCATAGTGTAGGAAAAACATGAGATGGAGGGAATAAAACAGGATAAAGGAACAAGACAAAAAATAAAGTTACTAATTCAGACTCTTGGGGTTAATCAGGCACAAAAAATCAAATATTA